AATGCTACAGTGGAATCTTGGAAAAACATAATGTTCCTCTTGTTATGTGCAATAGATTCTTCTTTAATTGCAGCAGCTAAAAAAAACCCTTCTATCTTTATAGATGTGGAACTGAACCAATGAAGTTTATGGTCTCTCACTGTCAGCAGGTTTAGGGAAAATTTATAGTATACCTTTTCAGTTCTGAGCATGCCATTTTCTGCTGGAATACTTACTAAAGTTGGAAACCAGTACTGAAAAAAGAAAACAATATAGGGCTAGGAGTATTGCTATTTTTAAAGGATTCCTATAATTTTAAGAGTTTTTATCTCACAGCTGCTATTACTTTCACCTCCCTTTCCCTCAAACCATTGCTGTATCTTTTCTAGAATCAAGAAACTGTATTTTTGTTAATGCTGTTTTTTCCTCCACTTTTTTTTTCCTCATTGTAAATTAAACTTGTTCTTTGCCATTCCTGATTGGCTTTCAGGACTTTTAATTAGTATAAAACTGAAGATGGAAATCCCCGAGCCTTGTTTTGGTTATTTAGATAAGCTAGAGTAATATTTTCTATAGTTTTTGGCTATCTATTCCTTTTTCTGGTTTACAGTTCCAGTGGGCATCACATCACATTTATTTACATTCAGTGGAAGGAAGCTACTTCTCTTGTTTTTGTGCTGGGTTCTGGATTTTGATTTAAAATATATTCAGGATGTCTATTATGGTTAAATCTTGAATATGATTCAGGACCCACCTATTTCTACGTGGTGACAGTACTGGATTGATGGTCAAGCTGAGCCAAAGCATGTTATGAATGACTGCAGTTTTGATACAATCCATCTAGTTGATTATTACTCAAGCCAATATTATAAATCAGATATTAGCCAAGATAGGAATATAAAAACTAGAAGTAAACTGAGTGCATACTTTGCCTTCAGAGATAGGTCTAAACAATGCTAACTTAGCACAGAAATGTGACTTAATTTTTGATTTTTCTATGTTTTGTATTTTATTACTGTAGTTGAAAATGAATCCCTCACTTTTCAAAATCTGAGTTTGGCATTGACATAGCTAGAAAAATAAAATAGAAAGCTTTTTTTTTTAAAAAAAAAAGAGAAGATTTAATCCTCCACTGACATTTATTTAATCAATTAATCAATTAATTTCCCATTTCATTGAAAATGATCTTCATAGTTTTAGGAACTCGTCTTCTATTCAGTCTCAGTAAAAATCAGTGCGCATAAAGGAGGAATTTATGCTTTGATCTCCTCTGCCAACACATACTTAGTGCTCCTCAGTTACAGCAGGCTGTCCCCTTTTCTCTTTCAGTATTCGATTGCTATTTCGTCTTATCTTCCTATTTCTGCCCTGTTTTAACTCAAAACCAGCACTAATTTTATTTGTACGTTCCTAAACTTCACAAATATAGCAAAGAATCTATCCTCAATTCAAAATTAGCACATCTTTGAAGTCCACAGAACCAGTTTGCTTCTGCATTTTATGAGGGTTTGAGGAAGATGGGGGAGATGAGTTTCTGCTGTTGTGTATGTGCTCTTTAACTCCAAAACAATATGAAGCCTTTTTTATTATTATTATCATTTTAAGTGAGAGAAAGATAGAGTGGCTTAGCTACAACTGAATGAGTTAGTGGAGAACTTACCAAATCTTAGTAGCTGGAGTTCAATGGTTTTAAACACCTCAGTCAGGTACTGGAAATGAAGATGCTGCAGCTTTTTTTTACATTTACTCTTTGAAAATACTACACAGTTTTGTTTTTTTTTTCTTAAGCTACACAGTGAATGAGGCAGAGGATGCTCCATCAGATCTGCATAAGTTTAAGGCTATATATAAAATGCGCTTTATGTCACCATGGTTTTGAAAAGCATGTTGGTATTTACTGGAGAAAAGTACCAAATATTATTGCTATATCCTGTACATATATCCGTATTAGGTTCATAAAATGCAAAACTTAATATCTAGTAGATGAAAATGATTGAACTGAACAATAGATTAAGTCCTGACTTTTGAGCAAAAAGACCAGGTTTAAGAAATTTAGATCTCATTTTTTTGGTGAGCTCGCAAGCAAACATGTTTAACCCCATCTCTAAAGCATGAGTATGTTTGTATATATGTTTGTATGTATGATTTGGAGAAAGTAGAGTCGTCATTACAGAACAAGGACAATAACCTTTCTGATAACTTCTAGCACTTCTCACCTTTATTATATCTAAAAAAATATACAGTATGGAGAGTCAAAAATTTACTGTTCTGGGATCTGTCTTTATAACCACCCCTTGTCTTACTCCCACTGTCCTTGCCCTTTCCTGCACCCTCACTCTTTTTCCTCAAAAAAATCAATCCAAACATTTCAGGTTGCAATCATTGGGATGCCCTGCCAACCCCCAAGACCTCGTTGGTGATAAAAACAGTTTTTCTCTTGAGATGCCTACCAGGCTATGTGCTGCAATGATACTGCAGCTATTGTTCAGCCTTTTCAGGAGACAGGAGTGTAACCTTCCACAGCGGTCTGTGAAAAGCTGGTGCCAGAGATTCTGGCTGAAGTGGTACATAGCAGAAATAATGTTGCTTTTGTTTAACTATGCAGTGTGTTCCAATGCTGTCATGTTTCAGTGCTATGTGATGTCACTTTAAATTATTTGATGTCCCTAAAAACACACATCTCCTCTCAAATGGTTAATCAGAATTTTAAATGTGTGTAAGGAGCACTGAGCTTGCACAGGATGCCCTCAGAAGTCCAATCAGTTTGTGCACCCTTGTATCTTCCCTCTTCTGCATAGCTGTTACTCTGTGGCATTTCGTTACATGTCAATATAATATTTCTAAAATAAGATAATATCAGATAATGTTTTAAATAAAAAATTAAAGTCTGCATGCAGCTGTAGAAGCAGATATTTTCTTATTATGGCAGATTGATCCATATTAATTCTCAGATTACATAGTATAATGTGAGAAAATGCTTTTTCCTTGTATTCTTGAAGCACAAAATGAAATCCGTAAGAGTAACTGACCTTAAACTTGTAACTGGCATTCAGTCCAGCCTGTGCAGCTCAGCAGACTGGCTGCTGACGGCTATCTATGCTCGCTTGCTATTTTGTGAGTCTCTGCAAACACACATTCACCCACTCTATGCAAACATGCACACACACTCTTTTTTTTCTCCCACACTGCCTGGCAAATTGTCAAAATAACTCTTCGAAGACTTTTTGAACTGCTGGGTAGGATTGTCTAATTATTATTATTTTTTTTTTAACTAGGAACATGTTTAGTCCAGTGTTATTTAAACAGGCTTATCTCTGATCAAAGTCTACAATCTGATATTTGAACAGGGTAGGGAGGGTGGTGGGTGAGGAACTATCAAGTACCTATTTATGTGTGTGCTGTTGTCTTAGCTGTGTGTATGCAGAGGTACTAATGTATATTATTTCAGTTTAATCTTGCAGATATAAATAACTTTTTTTTAGTAGCTATGAAAATATAGTGTTAATAAATAAGATAACTTTTAGTAAAGTTATCTTGAAGATATATATTAGTGACCTACATACAAAGATTTTCAGTTTCTTGAATCTTTTGAAGGTTGAGCTGAATAGAGTTGCTTAAGCACAGCACAGGCTTTACTAGCGCTGAAACCATACTCACTGGAGCCCTTACGTTAATGTGTTTAGGGCTGGCATTAGTCTATTTCACTGACTGGACCACAGACCACAACAATAATGCTAAAGAACTTGAAGCAGTTTTTAGAGGTTTTCCTTTCGTTGGTTCAGGACAACTGGTTTATGCAAAGTTAAAATTACATGGAATGAGATTGCAAGATGAAACATGCATGCCACACCTTTTCATTATGTTCTCTCTCCTTTTTCTTTTTCTAAATATAACTTTGAGAAGCATTCATGTTTATTTTACTGTTAATCCTTTATGATAATTTTAGATTACTTGATTTTCCAGTCTGATTTCAAAAGTCACATTTGCTGAGCTTCTGTTTATGGGAATAGGCAAAAGAATTTCCTGCATTCAATTCACCATGCCATGTAATCAAACCATTATTTTTTTTTTCCTGTTAGGGTGTTACTGTGATAAAATCTGTATGAAGCTCTGTTTAATCATTTTACAGCCCCAGAAGAAACAGACAGGTATCATCAGGCTAATCTAAAGCTTTCCCTCATGTTTTCACTGTTGCTTTTACACTTAGGTTAGTTGCTGCAAGTTATCACTGATTTCTGACGTTATTCCTGATGAGAGCATACTATCAACCTTTTCTGCCACATACAGATATCACACATCCTTTAGTTTCTGCCAGCTAGTTCTGTTGACCGAGGCTAGTGCCACACACAGGCACGCATACACACAAACAAGCGTGCACCCACATTCTGCTCTGCCATATCTCAGTTACAGCATAGTCCTAGCCAGGGTCATTGCAATGTACACATTACATATTTCTAGCAAACATGAAAATGAATCAAACAGGAGGAGAGATAAACAGAGATAGATTGGAGCCTGCTGAGGAAATAAAAGGCACTAATCTGGCTGACCACTGGACTAGTCTTCCTGGTTTGATTTAAGCATTCTTTTCCGTTAGGCGCTCTGGAGCGCTGGCTACCCTGAAGTGAAAAATCAAACCACTAGTAAGAAGAAAGTAACATTTAGTGGGACAATTATTTGGTGTAACTCCAAAACTAATTGTTTCTGAAGTGATGTTTAAACCAATGTCGGCACAAGGCAAGAGTTCCTGGCTTGTGGCCAGCACCTTTGTAATGCGTATTAGTGCAGATGAGGAGTACTTAAAAGTTAGAGAGAGAGAGAGAGAGGGAGAGAAGGAGAGAATGAGAGAAGGGGAGAGAGGGGGAGAGAGAGAGAGAGAGAGAGAATGTGGTTTTCAGTGCTCACTCTGCCTTTGATTGTATCCTCCTCCTTGCCGAGATTAGATGAATACCTGTGCAGAGCTGCTTCAGTATGATTTCTGCTGAGCCTCAGAGTAGGTTCTGGTCTCTTTTTTAGGTGGACTGCCAGCTGCTGATCTCGCTGTTGACAATAAAAGCAGATATGCTCCTTGTGCACTGCCATTAGCAATGACCATGACCCTTCACACCAAAACCTCTGGAGTTACCCTGCTGCACCAGATCCAAGGCACGGAGCTGGAGACACTGGGCAGACCTCAGCTGAAGATCCCCCTGGAAAGATCGCTCAGCGACATGTACGTGGAGGGCAACAAGACTGGGGTTTTCAACTACCCAGAAGGGGCCGCTTACGACTTTGCTACTGCCGCGCCCGTGTACAGCTCTACGACTCTCAGTTATGCCCCTACTTCTGAGTCCTTCGGGTCCAGCAGCCTGGCAGGATTTCACTCGCTGAACAATGTCCCACCAAGCCCCGTCGTTTTCTTGCAGACGGCACCCCAGCTCTCCCCCTTCATCCATCACCACGGCCAACAGGTCCCCTATTACCTTGAGAACGACCAGGGCAGCTTTGGAATGAGGGAAGCTGCTCCCCCAGCTTTCTACAGGTAAATGATACATACAATAATTTTCCTTTCTCTTTTCCTTCTTCTTTTTTTTTTTTTCTTTATTCATATATGCGGAGAAAATTATGTATACACTAAAATATGTATGCACTAAACTTCTGTTATGTGTAAGGGACCATGTAATTTGATTGAATCATCCGTGATAACTAGACCATAAAAAATAGTGCAGGGTAAAACAAAACTGCTATTGCAACTCTAAGCTATAAATTTTATAAACCATATGTATATGAGAAATGAATTAGATGAGTATGAGCGTTTCCTGGGAAAATATGAAATCCTAATTGATTAAAAAAAGGGAGACTCCCTATTGCAATATATATATTAGAATAGCTATCTAAGGTATGCTAAGAAATCTTTCTGCCACCACACATTTCTACTGTAAGTGGTTGTTTGTTCAGCTCTTCGCTGAGAGAGGCTTCCTCTGCTCTCACTTTCTTTAAAGTGTGAGAAGTGACTTGTATAGGAAGTAGCTCAGAGGCGCAGTATCCTTCCTAATCAAACTGTTGGAGTTGACAGTATTTCAGTCATTAGCCACCCTCACGAGCTGCTGTAAGAGCTCTATACCTGATAACCTGCATTTATCACTGCAGAAAAAAATATATTAAACACAGATCTGACACGTTGCTTTTCAAAATAGATTTCTTTTTCTTGTAATTTTTTTTCCCATAACACACGGGTCGTTTTTGTCTGGAATAGAAGGATAAAAGTGTCTTAGAATGGGTGGGGGGAATTGATTTAATTTTGTTTAATATTTATTGCCAGTTGTGGAAACATTTACATAGTTTCTAAAGTGGATGAAGTTGATAGAACTATAGCTTCCAAGTAAATATAGTTAAATCAACACCAATATCCATGCTGGTGATAGTATTGTTAATAGCATAGTTTTACATCAGCAGTTTACACTAGATACCAGTGAATCAAAATTGAATAGTTAGATATAATTTTTCATCTAAACTGTCTGTTTTTCAGTTTATTTGGGAGATACAGATGAGATTGATAGAAATGGAATGGGAATAAGAAAAACCCAATTTACTCTTTCCCTGTTGTGGACCAGACACTGCCAGATTTATTTGCATAGTATAACATATTGCTGCAAACAGCAATATATGTCCTTAAAGAAAGTTTAATTTAGCCTGAGTAAGACCAGCTGAATCTAGTCCAAAAAAGCAGATGATGATTGCACTTTTTGAAAATGATTAATCAGTTTTGGGGAGGAGACAGTAACAGACTGGTGAAAAGACAGATAACGGTTATGTCAGACAGTCCAGCAAAATGATCTGTTAACTAAATTGATTTGAACAAAATGCAATTTATACAACAATTTAATACATTTGTATTACCTCTATCAAGAGTGAATAAGTGGAGAACAAAAATTGTGAGAACTGGTGATTTTAGCATTAAACTACACTTTTTCTAGATTACAAGAGTTTTAATATGAATGTCCCATGCAAACCTATGATGAAAAGGGTAAGTGACCTTAGATATGCAAACAGTGGAGTTTGTGAAGTTGAAATATGCAAGCAGGGCTTACAGTATATTTAGGAGTTTTTATTTCAGTAGAATAAAACAAAAATCACAAGAAGAATAATCTGGAAGGAAACACTGAAAGATGAAAATAAAGCCCTTTCAGTTTTTAAACACTGAATTGAAAGGAGGCACTTCAAAATAAAAACAATGTGTTTTTTTAAACAGTGAAGTTTGAACACTGGAGGAAACATGTATGGGCAGTGCTGGATTCCCCATCTCTTGGTACTTCTGAAATTTCTAGCCATATAGAATTGATGGGGCTTAATGCAGGGGTAATTAGGTGAATTTATGATCTTGGATATGCAGGTGGTTTATCTGTGTACAGAGTTATAGAAATGATTTAATGGCCCCTTCCAGCTGTAATTCTGTAAAGTAGATTTTATGTGGTAATAAGAAATGTGCATCTGAGCACTTGCTATGATTATCTTGTGTTAACAAGCTCAATATTGTTGGAATTAAATTGATAAAAGCATTGCTGTTTTCATTTCAGCAAGACTATGTTTACAAAGTTATCATCATGACAACATTATGTTTTAGGATTTTTATTCCTGTAGTTTGGCACAGATGCAAACACAAATAGAGTGTTTAAAAATAATTTGAATATGTGGTCAGGGTCTATGAAATATTTAAAAGTCTAATCATGAGTTTTAACAGTAAGTTCTTCTGAAACTAATGTAACATGTGAATTTCCAATTTGCTATATTCTTTTGGCTAATCTCATTGGTTTCATTTGGATTATGGTAGAGAAGAAAGCATGAGGCAGTGCAATCTGGCAAGGAATAAATTGATGCTGGAGATTAGAAGAGATATAACTACTGAAATAGTGACTTTCTGGAACAACATAGCAGGAGGAGTGCTGAAGACAAAAAATAGCAATCCAAAACCTCTAAAAAAAAAWTAAAATAGATCACGATCAGTTTATGTTACAGTTGTTTGCTGCTGTAGTAAATAATGTAACCTAAGACCCAGAAAGACTGCTCCAGAATTCTTATTTACCCTTTTTGTGCAACAGAATTGTGCTCTTTGCACTGCAGCATCCTGTCGTACTGTGGACTTGAGATGGGAGTAATGCATTCTTTGATACAAGGGACTAGAACAATAAATGCTCATTGTAGGCTGGAGCAGGAATAACATTTTGTTTACAGGTTCAGAAAATGTTAAGAATCTTCACTAAATCAAAATGAATGTTAGGAGGAAAATGTTATATGTGGTTTGATTTTATTAATAGGTATTCAAGCATACTCAGTAGATAGACATACAGTTACACAGATACTAATTCAGAACATATAGTCCGTTTCTTTTAAACTGTCTTTCAAATTATGTTCCCATTTCAAAAGACTTTTTCTGCCTTTTATTTCACGTTAATGACAGATTTCTATATCGAGCAGAATAGAAAAACACAAGAAATGCACCAATCTCCTCATTTCTGGAGTTTCTAAGTAAGGGAAGAGCAGGATTTGAGAAAAGAGAAGGCTCAATTAATTCAAATTGTGCTGTCTTTAACTTGTCTTTTATGTCTGACCTTGTGGATATTTTTACAGGGAGCCAAACTAAAATACCTCTTTCTTATCTTACAGTGTCAGTATCTTCCAGTAAGGGGGAGAAGGCATAGCAAAAACATAGTTATGTTTTTAATTTTCACCAGATCTTACATGTATGTTATTTTCTCTATCACTTTGTTAGCAATCATTTTTATTGAATGTCGAGTAGTGTTTGATAATTATTAAAGAAAAATCTCTGCTCACGGCTGTAAACTAATTATATAATTTCTTTTGATCTTAACTATTATATATGAGTTTTGGTCAAAATATTTCCTTGTGCAATTCGGCAGGTTTTGGTGCATTCGGAGAAAAGCAGAGAAGCCATTCAGTAGCTGATTTATCTCAGTAAATTCCTATGAACAACAGCAGATGGATCCTTTTTGTTGTTCCCATGTGTGATATTCTCTGTGTTATCCCACAGAGTTTGCACTTTTTAGATCCAAAATAAAATCTTGTCTGTATTTCAAGCTCTCTGTAGTGAGTTTGGTGCTGCTTCCATACCTGCTCCAAACCCATGCAGAAACTACAAGCTTCCTGATGAAGGACTTGTTTGTTAACCTGGAGCCAGGGCAAATCAAAGTAAAAATAGAAATACCAGACGAAAAATCATTTATTGCTTCCTCACTTTGTGTGACTAATTTGTGGATATTTTCTAGTGCCTCAAGCTCTGAGTACAAATTAAATAATAAAGTGTTTATTCAGCTGTAGTGCTAATTGTTGTATTGAAATTAATACTGCATTATTATAAAACTATTATTCCAACCATTATGATAGTAACTTTAATTTTTAATGCTTTCTAAAATTGAGAAATAAGCTTGCAAATGTAGACAGTTCCCTTTTCTGATGTAATTCATAAACCCATCATAGTTTGAAAACTGAAATATCTTAATCTGTTTTTTCTTTTTTTTTTTCATTTTGTTCTTTTTTTATCTTTTCTGGTTCAGTATTAAACTCTGGAGCTGCTCCCACTGAGTTCTAAACAAAGATCTTTTTCCTAAATTTTGAAATTAAAAGAAGGTTACAATGAATGCAAAACAAAAGGATATATTCTTTTATTCATTGTGAGGGCATCCATAAGGGAATAACTAAGTACCGCAGTGGATGTTTTTGTTTTATTGATTTTTTTTTCTATAAAGTGTCAATCTATTTTAAGTTTCTCAGTAAGCATCAGTATGCGTGAAGTTTGACCACAGTTTCTTGAACAAAGTGTTTATTTTTTCAAGGCTTGTCCTGATATCTCCGTCAATTTTGCAATAGGTGTTTGTAATGAAATATATAGAATAACTCTATATTTCCTTATCTTATAGGAATGCTTTAAAGGTAAGCCTGTTAAATGTTCTGAGGTAGTGACATATTACAGTTATGTGGGTCATGTAAATACCACTATTCTCTGTGATTGCAGCTCTCTGTGGAGAATATGTTGGTGCGGATCCCACTGCAAGTGTGCTTGTACTAACCCATATATTTGAAGAGCTGCACCTTCTCATACTTGTAAATAAGGCCAGGCAGTGGCCGAAAGGGGTAAAGCAGCAGTGACACTCACCTAACTATCATTTTTTGTGCTGAAGTAGGGAGATGGATCTCACCTGATCTCTCTGAGCACCCTTTTTAAATCAGTTATTGAGAAAAACTCTCTTTCCTTCTTTAGCTGATTTATTTTCTGCATGATCTGTGTAGAAAAAAAAATGTTCTAGAGGCCAAATTATTCCCACATGGATTTAAAACTATTGCTAAAAGCCATGTTTGTCCAAGCAGCCCATGTCGATGGAGTTCATCTGATTAAATGCAGACACTTAGGGCTTGATTCAAGTTTCTGCTCACAAGGCATCTGGTGGGAGGCTGTGTGGTCTGATAGGGCTGTTGGATACGACACAGGACCGACTGTGCACCTGTGCCTTTCGGGAGTAGTAGGTG